TGCTTTTCCCTGGAATTTACTTATAACTTGGGACAAAAAGCAAAAGAAAACCTAGAGTTATTCATTTAGAAAATGTCGTGCAGGGAGTGAACAAAGGCTGCTTTAAATTGAGAGTCATCAAGGGAGCTAAACACAGGCTTGCTCCTTCACTCTGAGTTCTCACCTGAGCTTTCATGCATCATTTAGGTCCTCTGAGTAGGAGAGGCTGGGAGGAGGCAGATGGGGAGCTGGTGGAAGGCTGAGCCATGCCCTGCAGAACCAGCTCTGCAGCCAGACACTGCCCAGCTGCTGCCTGCTGGAGATCTGGGGAAAGTGGTCAACATCTGTTGCAGTGTGTGCTGGCTGTTCTGGGCAGGAGATGGAAAATTTGGGCTAGCATTATTAATTCGAGGTAGTGGCATTATTAATTAGAGCTAGTCTGGCACATGGCTGTGCAAGGAGGAGTCCTGAGTACCTTCTGTGCCTTGGGCAGGTGGGGTGACCTGCCAAGCTGGTGTGGGGAGAGGGCCAGGAGCAGCTGGGGCTGTGTTGGGGTCTCCCCCACTGCAGCCTGTGCTTCTGCAGGGTTTTATCTTGTTGTTTCTTCTCTGTCCTCCCCTCCAGGCTAAAGCAGGGCCTGGAGTGTCCCCTCACGGGCAGCACTGCATGGAAGGAGAGCAGGGGAATGGAGCTGGGCTGTGATGATGTGTTTGCTCAGGGCAGGGGTGGGTAGGGGGGTAACTCAGAGCCAGTGCTTGGCACTGCTCCACCAGTGTCCAGTGCTTTTTGGGGGGACTTCTCTTAGCTGAGCATCTATCCCAGAGGTGCACCTGGAAAAGGAGAGAGCTGAGATTGCCTCAGATCAACTTTTCCTCTGGCTTATGGCCATAACCCTCCCAGGCCACAGGTGCTGCCCCTCACATTGCTGAGCCCTGTCTGCTCTCCAGGAGGGGACAGAGCAGGTTTAGCTGCTCCTGTGGCTCCCCAGGCTTGTCCCTCTCCCTGTGCCTACACAGGTGGTCAGGGCTGGTTGTGGAGCAAAGGATGTTTTAGGGGCCAGAGCAGGGAGGGGATGTCCCTGGGTCAGAGCTCTGGAGCTGCAGCTGTTTGGAGGCATCAGTGGAAGGGGATGTGTCCCCAGCTCCCTGGGGAACCTGTGGCAGAGCTGGTGGCAGCAGGAGGGGACGAGGCTGCTGTCAGAATGGTGGAGCTGACCCTGCCTTGTGCAGCTCTCAGACACCACCTGAATGAGTGTTCCTGTTCCTCTGCAGGTGAATCTGGTCCTGAATGAAGGGAAATCCTTGGGCCTCATGATCCGAGGAGGGGCAGAGTATTCCTTGGGCATCTACATCACCGGGGTGGATAAAGGCTCCGAAGCAGAGAGCACAGGCTTAAAGGTAAGGGTGACTTCAGGGTGGGCTGGGATGGGAGGCAGAGCTCCGTGTGCTGTGGCTGCAGGGCCATCTCAGCAGGAAACTGCTGCTCTTCCCTTTCTCTGCCCTGGGCAAGCAGAACTCCCAGTGCAGAGGTGTGGGCTGCGTTTCTGGGAACAGCTTTTCAGGGCAGGCTCTTTGGATGTTTTGGATACTAAGCCTGGAGGGACAAAGGTGGTTTTCCCAAGAGAAATGCAGCCTTACAACTCTTGGAATGGGCTGTATTTGCTTTCTCTCTTAGCACACCCCTGCACCTGATTTCTCCCCTTGGAGACAGCCTGCGGGGAGGAGTTGGTGTAGATATCTAAGAGCAGCAGATCAGGCAGGTAAAGAAAGTCACTCTGACCTCTCTGAGCTGGCAGAGAAGAGTTTTCTATTAAAGCTCCTGGTCATGTGCCTTCTCCCTGCATCTGGCATCCAATCCCATTCTGGTGGAGCTGGGCTTTTGCACAGGATGCCCCTGGGCTGCCTGCAGGGCATGTGTGCAGCTGGCAGGATGAGGAGGCCAGGCTGGCTGCTGGGAGCAGGTGTCTGCTGCTTCCCCTGCACCCTGCTGGGGTTCACACATCCTGTGCTAACAAGCAGGAACAGCAGGATCACCCTCGGGGGTCGAGGTGAGATCTTTCAGCAGCCTAAATTGATGTGACCTCCAGCTACAACAGGCTCTCTCCATAGTCAAACAGGTTCCTGTGGGATGCTCTGAGGTTTGATTGGGCCCTTTTGAGGATGAGCTGGTCCAGAGTTGGCTACAGTTTTGCTGCAGACCTCTTGTAAAGCAAGATCCTGCATCTCTTCCATCCCACCATGCACACACATCACCTCCCAGCTCCTCCAGCCTTCCTGCTGGACCAGGTCTCAGAACAAGATGGGACATCCTGGAACCTCAGCTGTTCCTGGAAGGGGCATTTGGGGGTAAAACTTGGTATGTTCTAGAGTGTTCACAAGTAAGATAGGTTGAAAAAGGAACCACTGGGCTTCAGGTGTGTCTCTGTGCTGCTCATAGATGGGGCAGGTTTGAAATGGAGACTCCTCAGGCCCTAGCATTTTACTTCATCACTCAGGATTCCTTTTCTGGGGTGTTTTCTCTCTCTAAATGGCCCAACTCCCTGCAAGCACATTGTGCCTTTTTTGCTTCCTCCAGTGCAACCCCCTGAGCTCTGACAGACAGTTCTTTCCCTGCTCCTTCTGTCAGCTGAGACCTGATGGATGTTAAACTCCCTAATGTTCTCTCAGTCCCCTGAAGTGGTGCAGGACTGTTGAGGATTGAGATCTAATCTGCTCTGATCCCCTCCCTGTGCTGTGAAGTGATGCATTTCTCCCTTGATCAGGCCTGCAGAGTGTAGGGCTAAGCCTCCAGCTTTGCTCCAGTGGCCCCAGAGAGTCACTTCAGTCTGTCAGGGCTGTGGTAGCATGAGATGGGTGGGGAGGGCTGGGATGTGGGCTGGGACAGACCCTGTCCTGTCCCTCAGGTTGCTGTGGCACCCAACCTTAGGCTAGCTGGGCACTGAGGTCACCAGGCTTCCCTGGAGGAAGAGGGAGACCTTTGAATCACCATCCTTGGAGGTCTTAAAAAAATCCCACCATGTAAATGTGGCAGTTCAGGACATGGTTGGACTTGGTGATCTCAGATGTTGTTTATAATGGTGATGATTCTGTGATCTGCAGGGTATGTTTTTGAACTTAGGTGTCTGCTGCAGGGTCCTGTTTCTCTCTGCTGATTGTTTTGAAGGTTTGGATCAATTGGAGTCTTCATCTCTCTGTTCCTAGCAGGGAAATGGAGCTTACTCTGCCATATGAGAGGGTCACTTGAGCACTAGGGATGAGGAGCTGTGGGAGCTTCCTGGGGAGGTGTTTGGGCATCTCAGGGCAGCAAGGAGTGAAAGCTGCTGCTGGAAACTCCCTGCAGCCCATTCTTCTCTCCCAGAGCACATGTTGCTCCTCTGGGCTGCCCACCTTGCAGCCACTGTGCCAGTGGTCCTGACCAGAGCCCCAGCTGTCCCCAGGGGTGTCAGTGTGTTCACTGCAAGGTCCTGGTGAGGGGCAGCAGGGACACTACTCTGGGATGTGAGGATTTCAACACAGGGAGGATAAAAGGCACAAGGCAGTTTGTCTTCCTAAAAGAGCTGCAAAAATAAAAAGAAGGACTGGTCAAGCTGCCCTGGGTGTGACAGGAGTGGCTTTGCTGGGTCAGAGGACCCACCATCTGAAGCAAATCTGTGTCCTCAGCACCTGCTGACCCTGGGCCAGAGTGTCAGCCTGCACCTCAGGAACTCCAGAAGCCTGAAAGATTAAAAAGCAGGAAAAGAAAAAGGAGTTGACATTGTTTTCCTGAGGTTCTTTGCTTCATGTTCAGTGCACCTGGGTTGCTTCAAATCCCTCTCTTTGCTGCACAGGGAAAATTGCTGCTCCCTTGGGTTCAGCCCGTGTGCCCAGCGTGGCTGATGGCACCTGCAAACTCTGGAAAAGTGACAACAGCACAACACAGGGAATTATCCCTCCACCCCTCATCTCCTGCCTGCCAGGAAAGCAATTCAATAACCCCACACACTGCAACTGAAGCTCCTGGAGCTTTGCCTGCTGCTCCCAGCCCTCCCTGCCAGGCAAGGTCCCCACACCATGGCAGTTGTTTGCCCACCAGAGCCTCTGCTTATTGATTCTTGATGCCTCTCTCCTTGTTGTCCTGTTTTCTAGTAACTGATTTGCAGTGCCAGCAGGCTGGTGCTTCTCTGAATGTCAGGCTTTATGTGATTTCAGATGTGCACAGACACTCCCTGCCCTGATTTGTGAGCATTGCAGGCCATAAATTGAGAACTTCTTGGAGGTCTGGAGATAAGGAAAGGCCTTTTATGTTCTGCTCTCAAACATGGTTGGGTGTAGGTTGCATCCCTGTGCTCCCTACTCTGCTCCAGGTGGTGGTGGAAGGGATGTGACACCATGAGGGAGGAAGAACAGCTGGGAAAATATGATTTCCAGGTAATTCATTGCTCTCTGCAATAGAAAAAAAGATTTTGTTCACCATGGGCTCAACCTAACCTTGCTGGGTTGATGGGAAAGTTCCTGGTGACTTCCCAAGCAGTCCCTGCTTCTGTGGACTCTGCTGCTTCCACTGGATTTGGTACCAGAATCATTTGAGTTGATTCTGCCAGACTTCTCATTTTAGGGAATAGCTTCTTCCATCTGCCCCCTCTGCTCTTGTGAGGACCCACCTGGAGAACTGTGTCCAGTTCTGGAGCCTCCAACATGAGGACATGGAGATCCTGGAGAGAATCCAGAGAAGGCCACAAAGATGATCCCAGAACTGGAGCAGCTCTGCTCTGGAGCCAGGCTGGGAGAGTTGGGGTGTTCAGCCTGGAGAAGAGAAGGCTCCAGGGAGACCTTAGAGCAGCTTCCAGTGCCTGAAGGGGCTCCAGAAAAGCTGGGGAGGGGCTTGGGACAAGGGCAGGGAGGGAGAGGACAAGGGGGAAGGGATTTCAACTGGAAGAGGGGAGATTGGACATGAGGAGGGAATTCTTTGGTGTGAGGGTGGTGAGAGCCTGGCCCAGGTTGCCCAGGGAAGCTGTGGCTGCCCCATCCCTGGCAGTGTTGAAGGGCAGGTTGGATGGGGCTTGGAGCAGCCTGGGCTGGTGGGAGGTGTCCCTGCCCATGCAGGGGTGGGACTGGATGATTTTTAATGTCCCTTCCAACCCAAACCATTCTAGGTTTCTATGATTTCTGGCACCAAATCAGATTTTTTGAACATTTTGATGACACATTTTGCATTTCCCTTCACTTTGGCTGCAAGGACTGACAAGGTGGTGTTGCAAGCCAGTCAAAACCAAGACAGCTTCTTCAGGCCTGAAAGCTCAGCTGGCTGGTGCCTGCTACAGAAACAGGGTCATGGTCCTGAGAAGTGGGTCCCAGGGCAGATCCAGCCTTGTTGCTGCTGCTTGAGGTGCCACCACTCTGCTCCCTCAGGCTCCATGGCCAGGTTGGCTGCAGCCAGTCCAGAAGGACCCATCTGTGCCCTTGGCCTCAGCCTTCCTGATGTTTATTCATTCCCAAAACTTGTGACATCCTGTTCTTTGGGCACGTTTTGAAATGTGCTGCCTGGCTGTGAGTTCTCAGGCTGAAAAATTGCAGAGACCTGGGAAGGAGGAACATGAGCCTGTCTTGTTTGCTTCCCTCCCTGACGTTCACACCAAGGCTGAGCAGGAGCTGAGCTGCTTCTGCTGACGTCTGTGGCTCTGCCCATCCTGATTTCTTCCTCATCCATTTTCTCTGCTGATGTATTTTGTATCCTGGGAGGATTTTTTTAAGCCTTGTTTTTTTCTTCCCTCCTTGACCTTTGCATCAGAAATAGCAGATCTCAGGTAGCTTGTGCTGAACCAACAGTTCAATATTGAGCTCCCAGCACAAGGGCTGGGGTGAAAAGAAGCTACCACAGTCCTTGTGTACCCGTTTGAGGGAGGAGGAGAGAAAAAACAAGGGCTAAAAATAGGAAGAGGTGAATGATTTTGCATCAGCAGTGGCACTCGTGAAGCTGCCTCTTGAAAACTGGCTTGTGTTTTGAGGTCTGCACGTAGACAAAGATACTGAGAGGATAAAAAAACCAGCTGCCTGGCTGCCTCAGAGGCTGGGGAATAAATTGTCCAGTGAGGAATTCACTGAGGTTGTGGCAGACAAGATGTAAACTTTCCACTGGAGGCCACGTGGAGTGGTCCTTCAAAGGATGTCACTTTTATGGATGCAGATGTTGCTTAAATTGCTCCTCTTCAGGGAGCCTTCCAGGAACAGCCCTGCAGCAGTGCTGCAACCTCTGCCTGCCCCAGGAGACCATCCTCTCTCCTTGTGTGCTCCAGTTCCAGGCTGGATCTGCTTTGTTCCTCCTCCTTGTACTGCAAGGTGCTTGGGGAAAAGAACATGTTTTCAGACAGCACTTTTGGCACCTGCTGTTCCTTTGTCTTTCTCCCAAATCTCTCTCTGATCCCTCCTGTGTTGACCTCGTTGTTACAGGGATCATCTGCTCCATCCTGTTTCCCTTCTGAGGAAGCTGAATATCTCCTTATTTTTTTTTGCAAGCCTTGATTTGGTTCTCTTCCAAATCAATTCCTCCTTTTCCCTGCCCATATTTTTAATTTCTTTAGGTCTGCTTTTGGTAATTATTTGTGCTAGAGAGACACTCCTACTTCAGTGGTATCCACAAGTGTAATTTAACCTCTCTCCTAGGATATTAGTGGCATTAAATAAGACTGATGCCAGTGCCAAAGCATGTGGCATCCTGCTGGCTCTGCTATTCCCTGCTCAATTTGATGTCATTTAACATGAACTCATGTTTAAAATCTCTCACCTGTTTTTCTGTCTGTGTGATTGAGCTTCTCCCAGAGCCAATGTTGATGATTTTTAGGAGACTTTAGGTGCTCAGAACCCTTAAGTCCATTAAGTTTCTCCTCACTGCACCCCCTTTCCCCATGTTATTCTCCCTGTCTCCAGAGGGAGAAGTGGTCAAGCACTCAGCAGGTCCCCTTGTGTTCACCCACCATCAGCTGAGCACAACTGAAAATCTGCTCCTAAAATATCCAGGACAATAATTTTTCTGTTTTATTACCACTTTTATGTGTCTTATGATACTGCTTCTTTTCTTCTGTGCTGGTTTGGAGCTGTACATGCAGCAATGCTTGTTTTAATAGATCATAGAATAGTTTGGGTTGGAAAGGACATAAAAAATCATCCAGATCCAACCCCCTGCATGGGCAGGGACACCTCCCAGCAGCCCAGGCTGCTCCAAGCCCCATCCAACCTGCCCTTCAACACTGCCAGGGATGGGGCAGCCACAGCTTCCCTGGGCACCCTGGGCCAGGCTCTCACCACCTTCCTACTACAGAATTTCTTCCAAAAGTCTCACCTAAACCTGCTTTCTTCCAGTTTAAAACCATCACCACTGGCTCTTTTGCATCTCTGCAGTGTTTTGTTACTTTCCCAGCTGTCCTTAACTTTGAGGAAAAACTAATTGTATCTATGTTAATTAGCAAAAAAGTCCTTCCCAGCTCTAACAGGAGCCTCTCATCAAGACAGGCTGATTTGCAGGCATTTGAGCTGCCCAACAATTCCCTTATCTGCCCTTCACCAGCAATTATTTTTGCAAGGTCTTTTTTTCCCCCCATGAACACGAGGTGTTCAAACTTATCCAAGTATTTTGTGGCTGGTTGTTCTCACTCAGTGTTAATATTCTGGCAGCACCAGAGAGGTGACTGTGAACTGGGTGCTCTGTACTAACAGGGCACAGGAGACCAAAGAGCCATGAAGGACTTTAAATAAACATTGAGGCAGCAAGGAAGAACAGACACAGAGAGATGAAGTAGCTTGTCCAGGGTCCTTCTTGTCTCCCTGATATGGCAAGAGCTTGCCAGGTTCCTTTTGATCCACCCTTGAAAGGAGGAACTGAAAGAAGGTTCTTCAGTCTGTCTCACTGTCTTGAACAAAAAGAAGAATCATAAAAGTTTAATCCCTGATATAGCAAACTATTAAAGATTGATAATTGCAATAAAACTATCTAATCTCATTTGGGTTTTCTTTGATTCAGTGCTGCAGTGAGCACAGTGCTCCTTGTTTCAGCAGCAAAATCCACTCCAGGGAGTTAGGAAGACTTGGGAGAGGAAAGTCATTGCACCTGAATGTGTGTTTCTCTGGGCAGTTCAGGCACGTGCCTCGGTTTCCCTCCCTGTTCTGGTGGTAACCAGTGAGTTCCTGATTGTTGGGTTAGAGCTGACAGAGCCATCTGCTCTGTCATTTGTGCCTTCTGCCTTCCCCTGGGCTCCCTCCCTTCCTGCCTGGTTCTTGGTGCCTGTGGACCAGCTCAGGAGGAGCTGCCTCTGGTGGCTCCCAGAGCTGAGCTTGGCTCCTGGTCTTTCAAACCAGGGAAGTTTCACATCCCTAACATGTGGTTTTGGCAACTGATCTGTGCTCTGCAGGCTGCTGGGGTAGGTGTGAGTGTCCCACCCTGGCACGGATCTTCTCTGTGGTCTCTCCCCTCCAACCAGCTGGTGCAGAGGACCAGCACCCCAAGCTCAACCCACGCCTGGTGCTGTGTCTCATCCTTCCACAGGCAAAGCCAGCAGAGCAGGAGGCCAGCCAAGAGCAGCTCTGTTTGCAGGACCTGCTGCTTGGACCCTCCTTCTTGGAGCCAAAGCAGAAGCTGATGCAGCAGGACCTGGGCTGTGCCACCTCCAGGGCTTTGCAGTCACTGTGACAATGCAGCAGCTCCTGCCCCCTCTTCTCTTCAAGCTGGCACCAGCCCAGCTTTAGGAGCTGGCTCCCTTCTTGGCTGGCCTTCTTGGGTTCATCTCTTGCCTACATCATCTCTTTTACTTTGTCAGCTGAGCAGCTTCCCATGAGCAGCAGAGGCTGAGCAGTGTGAGGACAAATCTCAGGGTCCTGGCAGTGGTGTTGGTGGGGTCTGAGCCCTCCTGTGCTGCCCCTGCTGCCCACCAGCCCCTCGGAGTGTCACGGGGCAAGGAACTGTCCCCAGAAGGATGAGGCAAATCTGCTTGAGGTCACTGGCTGGAGCTGAATGCACAACTGAGCTTGGCTGCCCCAAACTGTGTCAGGAAGGTCTTTTCCAACCTAAACAAGCCCATGGTTTTGTGGTGCTCTCGCTCCAGCTCCTTCACTGCCCTCAGTGCCACTCTGAGCATCCTTCCAACTTCACTGAGCACCCTCTGTCCTTCCACCAGAGGGAAGGGTAAACAGGAGCCTTTCTCTGCCTTATTATTGCCAGCAGGATTTTGTGCAGCTCCACCAAGCTCCCCACACATCATATCTCTAAATTGAGCAGGCCTTATCTTTGCAATCTCTCCTTTCACAGGCATCTTCATCTGCCACTAATCATTTTTGTTTCCCTTCTCTAGAACTTGTCTCTCTGTCTCCCTGCTGGGCAGGCAGAGATGTAGGCAGGGACTGCGCTCCCAGCCAGGCCAGGCAATCACTTGGATATTGCTGTGACATTAATTTTAGAGTTATTCTTGATATTTTTCTTATCACAGTTCCCCATGATGTGTTTTTGTTGCAGTTTTACTTGATCACTCTCACAGCTGCTCCTGAGGTCCGTGAGATGTTGGGTTTCAGTTTTTTCTCTCTGGTCAGTCAAGAGGCTTTGGTCCCATCTTGGCCAATGGCAAAGTCCTGCCTGGCTCTTCAAAGCACCTTTCCCAGCCCATTCTGACACCTCTGGTCTGAACTGTCCTGACTGAATTTGGGTGTTGCTGGTAGATCTTGACCCCCTCCCAGGCTCCCTCCCTCACTGCTGCCTCAGGCATCTTGGGATTTTCTTCCTCACCTTCTGGATGTTCAGTAACCCTCAGGTTCTCTCATTCCTTTCCATCTCCCTATGGCTTCTCAGGGAGCTCCTGTGCCATCTTTCCCTCTGCATCTGTGTTTGCAAGGCCAGAGGAGCACAAAGTTCTCCATGTGTGGCCCTGCAGTGGGCAGGGAGGGAAAAGCTGCTGGGCCTCCTTGGCACTAAGGAACTCTGCCTGGGAAACCCCTGGAACAGCCCAAGCAATGCCTGGTTGCACAGTGACAGGCATTCCCTCCCCTGGGAAGCAGGGAGGAGTGAGTGAAGTGCTTTGTGCTGCTCTGAGGTCCTGTCACCTCTCTGCTGTGGTGGTGGCCACATTCAGGGCAATCCTGGGGCTCCCAGGTCAAGGAAGAGGACTCTTTCTTTTACTTGGCTCTCATGAGACCCCACCTAGAGAACTGTGTCCAGTTCTGGAGCCTCCAGCATAAGATAAACATGGAGCTCCTGGAGAGAGTCCAGAGGAGGGCATGGAGATGATCCCAGGGCTGGGGCAGCTCTGCTCTGGAGCCAGGCTGGGAGAGTTGGGGTGTTCAGCCTGGAGAAGAGAAGGCTCCAGGGAGACCTTAGAGCAGCTTCCAGTGCCTGAAGGGGCTCCAGGAAAGCTGGGGAGGGACTTGGGACAAGGGCAGGGAGGGAGAGGACAAGGGGGGATGGATTAAAACTGGAAGAGGGGAGATTGAGGTGAGGCATGAGGAGGGAATTCTTTGGTGTGAGGGTGGTGAGAGCCTGGCCCAGGTTGCCCAGGGAAGCTGTGGCTGCCCCATCCCTGGCAGTGTTGAAGGGCAGGTTGGATGGGGCTTGGAGCAGCCTGGGCTGCTGGGAGGGGTCCCTGCCCATGCAGAGGGGTTGGAACTAGATGATCTCCTCCACTTTCATGCCAGCAAAGTTCTGGGTAGCACTGGGGAAAACCTGGGTGACAGCAGAGCCACAGCCCAGCACGTAGACTTGGCAGTGGTTCATTGTGGCTTCTCTCTGGAGTAAGTCTGGAGAATTAATCCCAATCCTCTGAGGCCTCCTTGTCCCTGTGATAGAATGAGATGGACTGAGCTGAAAGGATCATATTGACTCTCTGTGCTTTTATCTGAGACTTAGAAATTCTCCCCCCCTTCCTCTTTTCTCCTCTTCTCCAAGAGGGAGTCAGGAATGTCTCATTCTGCCTGCCCTGCAGCAGAAAGACAATGAGACTGTGTTTTGGCAGAGCAGAACAGAAGGCTGTGGTTAAGCAAAGATATGAAAGAGCAGTTTCAAAGAGGTGGCTTGGCAGGACCAGGGTGAATTGTGATCCCAGGCTGAGGAGGAGGGGCACTGGGTGCCCCAGGAGCAAAGAGAGGACCTGGGATGAAAGGAAAAATGGCAGATGAGTGCTGTGCCTTGGACATGGCCAGGCAGGCAGGGAAGATCCTGCTGCCAGCAGAGGCCCTGGCTGCAAAATGAAAGCTCTCAGGACCAGCTGGGGAGGAAACAGGAGGAGAGGAGAGATGAAATCCAGCTGTCCCAGACCCCACAGTTTACAGAGTGTGGTGAGACAATCCATCTGAACCCTCCCTGCTGCACACAGAGATCTGAGGCTTGGGGCTTCTGCAGATGGTTCCTCACCTCCCAGCTGGGCAGGAGGGATGGGGGCTGCAGAGCTTGATATTCTCTGGGAGCTGTTTTAACCAAGCTGGGTCTGCAGTTCTAGCTAATGGAAGATACTGGGCAGACTGATCTGACTTGGGATCCTGAAAAGGCTCCTCCAGGCTTCCCAACCTGGTTCTCTACCAAGCCTGGTTGCTTGGTCTCCAGCCACCAGCACCTGGTCCCTCTCCCTTGCCTTCCTCCATCCCTCCACTTGCCACGTCCCCAACCCTGCAGTGGGTTAGACTGAGCAGCTCCTTCCCAGTGGGAGAAGAAGCCACGTTCCTAAGGGCAAACCCCCCCCC